TAAGGCACCTGTGAGCTGGAATTTAAACTGACACCCTTGGGGTAGTTTCTTCAGTTCCTGGCCTTTGGAAACTCTTGTTGTGTCCTATTGGACTGGATATGTCCATTTTAACGTGAAGATGGATTTAACTTTCGTGATCTTGTGGCTATTGACAGTTCTCTTGGAAGGCGTCACTAGCCAAGGGGTTTATGGTAAGTTCTTCAAGCTCTTGACACCAGTTCCTTTCCTGTTCCTCAGTCGTTGACCCTGTCGGTTGCCTGAGACTTTTTTTTTTTCAGGTCAAGGGTTCACTGGTGAACCAACCAGGCTCATCTGAAAAAAAAAACACAAATGGCAAAGTGTAATAACCCATAGCAACCAATCTTCAGTTGGCCAAAAAGTCATATCAGGGAAAGATGGGTTGTGATTGTTTGCTGTGGGCTATTGCACTTTGTCCATTGCTGTCTCCTTGTTGACCAAGCCTGTGAGTCTCACCTGTAGTCAAGGTGGACTAGCAAGACTGAGAAGCTCCTAGATGGATTTGGTTGGATGGATTATAGCAATGACAGAGAGAGCTTGGGTGGTCTGCTATGAGTGTCTCACATATATGACCAAACTGTTTTTGTTTTTTTATTTATTTTGCTTTATTTACATTGATTAAAGGTCATTAATTCAAACCCATTTAGCCTATGCCAACACATGCCATCATCTGGCACAACTCCATTAGTGGAGGAGCAAAAAAAAAAAAAACCTGTATAATCTGCATGCTTGGCCTTAAAACTCTGATGTGTTCAGATGATCACACTGCACAAGCAGAGCTGAAAGAAGGATGCCATTAGTCTAATCACAGCTCCAGCTTGGCTGAGAGAGTCTAAAAATGTGTGTGCTATTACATATCCACCTGTATTGCTCCAGTTGTTGCAAGCATTATGGACTGCCAGCTTGCAAACCTGCCTCAATCATCCAATTTTCCATTGACAAAACAGCTGAATGCAGTGAAGGGATATAAAAGGCTTTTTTTATTTTTGGTCAACAAATGTGACACTGACATCGGGCAAATAGCAGGCGTTCGCAGAAGGCTATGCAGAGAGTGGTGATCAGGTATACCCAGCGCTGCATCTAATGTCACCCCGACAGCCCCAGTTCCTGGTGGCAATTAAATAAAAAGCCCAGGGAGCATCAGGCACCCCTGCAAAGTAGTTTCAAGTTGCTGAGCAAGGGGTCTTGGAATGGCTGGCAGCCTCCAACCCATCTTCAGGCAAGGATGTGGTGGTATTTCAAGTATGTATCACAGACATGACATAATAGAGGATCCCACATTGCCATTCCATGGAGCCACATGAAGCTATCCCTCTACAAAATCCTATAGGCTTGCTGATTAATGAACTTGCTGATGTTCAGCACATATTAATAATCTATTACCGCACATGCAGCAATCAACTGTGATTTAATTATTGACTTTTCCCATATTATAAATACACTAATGGTCGACAGATGGTGTTTGCAAAAACACATCCAATCCCAGTATACAGCCTCAGTTGCCAATGTTGTTTTTTTTATTATTATCATTCCACTGGAGATGGGATGCACAGGGCTGAAAAGACCCATTTAATTGCGTTTAGCGCTGAGATGCTAATCATCTTGCTCATACAAGCAGGAGCAATGTAGGAAAGGAGCCGGTGGGCGTGGCTAACACAGTGTCTGGAAAGGGGGGTCGATAGGGGGTGTAGCCAAGTCTCAACAGACCCTTTACTGTTTTCACATAGCAGCTTTTGTGTCCTTTGCATTGGCAATCTGATAGATCCTTTTTTTTTTATTATTTGTGACACCCAAAACAGTGATTTTTGGAAGCACTACACAAATAAGCTGAGATCTTGAGTGCATCCAATTCAAAAGGGGGGAATTATTATTTTTAGAGCTCTTCCTGGGAAAAAAAAAAAAGAGGTGGAGGGTGGGGGTGATACATCTTGTTCAGGATGATGAGATTTCATGCCAGGGTAATTGGGTAACGCAGAGTATTCATGTGTTTCCTAAACACAGATCAATGAGCAGCAAATGGATAATCAAGCAAGGGGAGACTGGAAGCATGCACGGCAATAGACTGTGAAAGCTCGATGCGATAGGCTTGCCCAGCTAAGCGAGGCTGACTGACTTCACTTGATATCTAGGTCAGCAAAAAGTCGGTGCCAGATGGTGTCAGAATTGACCAATGGGGTCTGCATGCCACAACTCAGTCACTGCACATGTAGCAGCAGCAGCGCACATTGCATAGGAAGCACCTGGTCATCACATGTGTACTCCATGCAGAATGTTGGACACATGACATAGGACATACTATATAATTTGTATTACACATACAGCACAATGGCATAGTGGTTAGTACTTCTGCCTTGTGGCACTGGGTGTCCCCGGTTCAGGTGCTGGTCAGGAAACTATCTACAAGGAGTTTGCATGTTCTCCCTGTGCTTGTGTGGGTTTCCTCCGGGTACTCCGGTTTACTCCCACACTCCAAAGACATGCTGGTTGGTTCATTGGCTCCTGTCTAAATTGGCCCTGTATGCATGTGAGATGGGGATCTTAGATTGTAAGCTCCTTGAGGGCAGGGACTGATGTGAATCTGCACAATGTAAAGCACAGCGTAAATTGTCAGCACTATATAAATACCAATAATAGATATATACATAAGAGAATGTGCAAGCTGCACTGGCAACTAACTTCAGCTTACTGCAGGAGAAAAGGTGATCGATCAGTTATTATGGGTTACTGCATTCAAGCAGTGCAAGGATGTGCCAAACGACAGCAACCAATCAGATCTTATCTTTAATTAGACAAGAAAAGTCAGAACAGGGAGATGTTTCCTTCCGCTTGGTATGAGTTTCCGTACTTGCACATTGCTCTCCATGAACCTGGAAATGCACAAGCGTCTCATCCGAGGTTGTGCGTTATTTAAAAGAGATAAATGCCCTTATTCGGTGAATCAGATCAATAAGAATGCTGAGGGTGCGGTAACCAATAGCAACTGATCAGGTTGGTTGGTTGATACAAATGTACCTGATGTTCTTGATTCTACTAAACAAGTCAGATTCATCAAGGTACATAAAATGAAAATATATATAGCAGACGCTTGAGTTTTTGCCTATTTTTTCTTTAGGGGGGGGGGTTAAAAAATTAAAGGGAAAATCAGATTGCCCAAATTTAGTCACATTGCGCACACATCTATGGACAACACACACTCTGCTGCAGATTTACCAAACACTATGCAATGTGAGGACCTATTATACAACGCATTCACTTTGTATCCATTCAGGCAGGCCCACATGCTATTTAATTGTTGGCAGATCTAATAGAGATTGTACAATGAGATTTTAACATGTATGGACTGATGGCAGATGGGAAAATTTGCAGCAGAAAATGTGCAGAATTTTTAAGGCGAAACAACCCTTTCCCCTATCTTAAAGTCACTCCCTTGCTGGCCCGTACAGTTGCAGAATCTCCCTGAATAGCAAGGGAGCCGCTATGGAGCCACAGCATGCTGGACCAGTCAACAAGGGAGCAAACCCAAAGGAGAAGGTAACTGGTCACATAATAATCTTGTCCGTCCTCCTCCATCAGCCTCGTTCTGCATACAGGTCAGTGACACCAAAAGCCCACAAGCTATTGAATGAGGGTGACAGCCAGAGAACTGGCATTGGCAGCAATGGCAGCCCCCATACGTCCTTGCTATAGATTTCCTTTCAATGTAGCCCGTGTGCTTCCACTAAGAACACCAGCCCAGAGAATGGATTTTTGTAATCTGAAATTACGGTCTGGTATATTTTGGAAATGTTTCGTTACTCAGTGATCAATATGCGTAAATATGCCAAGTATGAGCCGGTGTTACTGTAGGCGAGCTTGTTCGAAAATGTTTAATTTATCAGATGCAAAAACTTAATAAATAACAATTTTGCTAATTACGGGAGTTGCAAATGATGGGGAATCCCATCTTGAGACAATTTGCTGGTAATTACAAGGCATTAGTGGCTGCATAAAGCATGTATTCTTTGTAAATGTGCACTGAATATATGGGTAGGTCTCATTTACTAAGGCGATGTGCTAAATGCAGTAACCAGTATCAGCCAATCAGATTGCTCCTAACTGCTGAACGCGTGAATGTTTCCGATATGTCTAAATGCACTCTGAACAACAGCACTGCTCTGTTTATATGCTGTTGGACAACTTTGGACAACAAACCACACATTTGTTTCAGTTCTAAATGCACGTTCTTAAAACAGGCCTACTCTAAAACATAAGTGCTTTCAAATATATCATATTTGTACCCCTGTTTTAAATCTTTGTTTTGGGTAGGGTGTGGAAGAGTTAGGACCTTTTTATTGCCATCTTTTTTCCCCTGGGGATATTTCTCCTTACTTCCTGTCACCATGACATTGTGTCACAGTAAGTGATGGGAAATCTCTTCAATGGGGACAGATACAGCAACTAACTAACCTAATTGTACAGTAGGGGTAGGTGAGAATCTAGGGACACAATGTCCTCTGATTTGTTGCTCTGGAATAAGAGGGACAGAAAGTGGAGGGAGGTTATAAGAGTCACAATGGAAAATCTCTCCATACAGGACAGATACAGGAACTAACTAACTAACTAACTAACTAACTAACTAACTAGCCTACTTGTACATGAGGGGTAGATTAGAACCTAGGAATCCAAAAATCTTCCCAGTGGGGACAGGTATAGCTACTGACTATCTTACTTGTGCAGTAGGAGTAGGTTAGAACTTAGGGACCCACTGTCTTCTCCTTCCCCACTATATCCAGAACTAGAATAACATTTTGGCTGGAGTTGGGCTTTACCTAAATAGCTCTATGGCTCGGGTAGGCAACATTGGCACTCCAGCCTTTGTGCAACCACACTTCCCTTGAAAGCCACAGACATGACTACCAAAGGCAGAGGTATAATGATATTTGCAGTTTTAGCAGTGTTGGAGTTCACACAAGGGAGGACTGTTTTCATAAAAGGGTACTCGCCCCAGAAAGTGAGATCAACAAGAAATTTAAGCCACAGGTCAACAGGGAGCTTGGCCTTTGAAGCTAATGGGTCCATGTCTTAACTCACTGTGGTTCTAGGCAACCAATAGACACCCTGCTTAAAAGAGAAATGTTTTATGCCTTGGTGACTAAGACCAAATATCTTCTTTAAAGTGTTCATATTAATTATA